TATTGGACACAATCTTTCTTTTCAGTAGCTTTAGTCCTGCGCTGTTGAGGATCCGCAAGGCTTGTCCGCCCGGCCTATGCCTGTGCACAAGGTGGCTTAGGACGTGACATACTCCCCAATCTGAAATGAGCAGAAGATGGGATGATGGGAAAGAAATTGCAAGGAAAGGTCGCGTGCTGTCTCTTGCCAGATGTATATTGTACTGCCCCAGCATTCGTGTCCAAGTGATCACTAGTCAGAGTGGTGAGCTACGCGAATTTAATTCCAACAGGCGCCACAATCTCAGCGATGTTAAACACATCAAGTAATTTCCTGCACCTTGCCGGGATCGAAGTCTCGACCTCTGAATCATTGGAGCGTTAGAGCTGTAAGGCACCGCTACCGGTGTTGGTATTTTCTTCTTGATACATATAATTGTTAAATATAATATTGGTAAATCCACAAGTAATTGTTCCTGTGCGCAGAATCTCCATCTCGATGGCGGTTTTCATATTTTTCTAGCGATCTAGAGGAAATTTTAATGTGGTCTTTTTTCATTGAAAATAATATATTATTAATAATAATTTCAACAGATATCCGTGTAAACAGTCGTTTCGGCAAATGGTGTAGGGATCTTTGCATTGGTTTTTACGTGGTCTTCAGTTTTTGAGATTCTCATTTAATAACTTCTTACCGTAAACGTGTGTTCATCTGGCATTTTCTTTAATCAAATCATACCAGCATGGTCTGTTCAATGAAAATAACCAACATTTCTAATGTCAATTCCTTGAGAAACTCTTCTTACAGACGGCTCTTTACCGATCTTCCTAACGTCCACAGTGTTGTTCTTATGGTGTGACGAAGCACGTGCCAAAGAATCATCGAAGAGAAAATGTACTTTTTCGTGTATAAATTCGTGAATTGATATAGTTGGGAAGCGGATAATTACAGTAGAATCGAATCGGAGTGCGAAGAAGTTCTACCAATGTCTCCTGCGAATGAAGCTCAAGAACTGCAACACTTGATTGCGGTTACACTAACGACCGTGCGTGACTTGACTCGTCGGGTCTCAACAAAGTTTCGGTTTTGGCGAGTCGTTCTCCGATGCGACAAAATTGCAACGGAATTTTACAAAATTACAAAACAGTTTTTACAGTTACCCCTGTCTCCGAAGAAAATCGTCAGAGTTAATACGTATAACGCGTATCTAAAAAGAACATAAGTTTCTCTAGTCTCATCTATTTCGTCAACAGATGAAAAACTCAATTATTCGGAAAAACTTTATTTTAGTAAAGTGGGGATATTTGTCATGTGCCGTGGAATCAATGTTTACCATTCTTTGTAGTAGAAGTCTGCAGCGTGGGATAGATACTAGTGTTTGACCGTCTGCAACTCTGCTTCTCTGTGATATACGTAATGATGACTGGACAGGAATTTTTTGAAGTGTAAGAAGGATGGAAATGGGGGGGGGGGGATCTGTCCGGTGAAAATACCTAGCTGAACTGCTGCGGATGTGATGTGTTGTAGGCCGAGCCATGTGTGGCTGACTATATAACCATTAGAACTATGTTGTAGCTTTCTGTTGCTTATTTATTAGTTTCTTATCGGTTCTCTTTCACTTGGAGGGACCTGTATAACTTGATCAGTTGATACAGGTCCCTAATTTCTCAGGTTTCGTTTTTTAGTGAGGCTGAATAATGAAGGTTTGCGCCGCGCGTTCCGGAACCTGTGCAATGGCCTCTCCTGGATGCGCAGAGAGCATCGAGTTGACCGTCCCTGCGTTGAATTCGAAGGGCTCGCCCCAAGCGCCGCCCAGCAAAAGGATCGATTGTGCGTCCTCCCTCTCCCGCACTCTCTTTCTCATATTGCTTGCTGCTTTGGAAGCTCTTTGCTCAATTAGGTACACGTCTACGCGTACACATGTGTATGTGGTTTATATAGTGGAGGTTTCTCTTGTTCTGACATCACTTACCACCTGCCTTTGAATTGGAATTGGTGACATTGCATTATGTATTTGGAGAGTTGTTGGTGCAATCTCCCATTACGTGAAAGTGATAACGAGAATATTGCTACTGATCTTTTTAGCGGTAAATTGTATTGTACGATTAATTTACCAAAATTCACAGCAAATTGCTAAAAGGTATAAAGATAATAAATGACCGACCTCTCCAATCTCAATTCCTATTATGGAAATGAAGTCATGAATAATATGTATTTTAAATTAGGTGTTTTATACATTTCAATTATACATTATTTCACTTGCAGAATAATCAAAAGTAATATTACGAGCGTTCTGGGTATGTCCAGAACGTATACATTATAACATTTTCGACCGTGGCTGTATTTTCAGTTGTTAAAACTCTTGCACTGATTCTTAACTATATAATGTTTGAGAAATAGCTAGGTAGTAGAAAATTATATTGAAATAGGTGTTGTGTCATGTGACGCCATTTCTTTGATACAGTTTGACACTGATCGTACTTAACGGTTTGTTTCGTAATAGTTCGTTTAAATTTGGAGTATTATACTTGCTTGAGTTTATTGTAATAGTGCTTATGTTTTTCCTGTTAAATGAAATGCAGTTAAATCCTCTGCGAAGTTTAAGCATTTGTAAAACCTGGTTTGCGGTCTGCTCACCTCAGTTTTAGTACAATACAAATATGTAAATATTCCGATGCTTGTTTCTTTACTAATACAAAATGTTATATTTCAGTACGCCTAATTATCCTTCTGCGCGTTTAGATATATTGCGAACAAAGACTTAGTTTTCATTGATGATTTGAACTATTTTAGATCTATTCAAATCATTAAAAAATATTTTGACTCGATTGAATATCCAGCGTTTTGCCTAAATACTTCATGTACTCATGATCGCTTACGAACTTTCGAACTCTTGTTTCCCCCATGTCATGCTTTTCATGTATTGCTGTAATCGATATTGCATTCTTAGGGATGGTGAGTGCGTTATCTCAGGAAGTGGTTCACAGAATGTCGTTTCGTGTTGCAGGTACCCCGCCGCTCAGCGAGGCCCGTTGGGCTATGACGGCTGAGGGAGATGGAGGCGGCGTCGGCTGATGCTCTCGCAGGTAAGTTTCATCTGCTTGGCTTCAGCTCCCTGTCAGCGTTACCAACTTTCTGTAATATGTTGAATTACTTCGTAAAATTGAAAGAAAGAGAAAAGTTGCCAGAAAGTGAGATGCGTATGTATCTTTTCTCTACACTATTTATTTTCGTAAGCCGAAATGAAGCAATGCAAAAATTGGATGAAAAAATCGAGATTGAAACTTTTGGCTAAAGTGCTGAGAAGTCTACTTATTTGCTGTTTTTGAAATGAAAAAAAAGTGAACCCAATGATCTTACTTCCTTTTAGAAATGTGCTGATTTCATCCCTCCTAATATCGCTTGCCTATACGTATCAACTTAATCGACGTCATCACAAAGTCGGCATTTTTTAACGAAGTTGATCTGGGCTGTCCGGGTGACGCCGCGTCGAAGGCTGAGTTGCCGACGTTTCGACCATCCTGTCGTGGTCTTCCTCAGGGCTGGTATGTCCGCATACCAGCCCTGAGGAAGACCACGACAGGATGGTCAAAACGTCGGCAACTCAGCCTTCGACGCGGCGTCACCCGGACAGCCCAGATCACCCACATGACTGGTCGCGGAAGCCTACGACTTCATTTTTTAACGAAGTCCAGCCGCCTAATATGGAGAGGCTTATCGTTGATATCTTAATCACAGTTCACCGTAGGTATAAATTTCTAAAAATGAATCTTTTTCCACTAAAAAAGGCAGTCTTTTGTCGCCTCTCGGTGCGTTTTCAGTAGTCGAAGTATAAGGAACAGGTTCGCACGGTCGCTCTCTAGCAAGAAGCGGAGCTCGAGCGTGTGGCGAAATTAATAGATATATGAACACTGTACTCCATCAAATATTCCCCAATGCGGATGAAGTAGTTTTGTTTTCGAACTATTTCTTTGTTTGGTCTTAATGTCTTTTAAATAATTATACGTGATTTAAAATATTTCTATAACAAAGTAGTTTTTGTTCATACAGCACACTTTTTAGTGTGAATTTGTGTATCTCTTTGTAATAGGCAAGCAATCCATTCTCACACAGCAAGGTAAAGTTAATATTTTCAAAAATGTTATCAGTATTGACCCCATGCTGCTTAAAATTTACATGTTCCGCTATCTGTATATCTGATTTTCATTAATTGTTTAGTATTATTAGTTCATCTTAAAACGTGTTTCTCAATTTAATTTAATTGTTACGTTCATCGGAAAAGAGTATTATAATAAGCTAAACTTGTCAACAAAATTATGTAAAGCAGCTACCAGCTGCTGGTTTTATTGAAAATACAAATAAAAATTTAATAGTATTAAAGAATCATCGTCTACTTTTTTACGTTGATCGTTGCGTCGTAGTTATTGAGGTAGTCTCAATGGAACGGAATATGCTCTTACGGTTTATTGGGAGCCGCGATAGTAATTAGTCCTTTCTGGCTTCGCACCAGATAGATTCTCCCAGCTTTGAGTGTGTCTGTACTCACATGTGAACGGAACTGTTCCAGTACCGTAAATGGGTTGTCGGCTTCGAAGTCAAGGCTAAGAGAGCATTTTTAAATTACTGTACCTTTCACAACTGATCTAACAATCCCCATTGCTTTATTTACTACAATAATTAGTTTCATACTAAGACGTTTTAGAACGCAAAGTGTTATAATAGTCCAAGGCCTTCTATTAACTACTATCAACACCAGTTTGTAACATCACAGGAAGAATATTCAGATTAAAAACAAAAATTATAGGAAATTGGAATTTTTACAAAATAGATAAAACGTGCGATATCCGTATCCTAGCATATTCCACTATTCGAGGTGTTATCAAAATTTTCAAATTTCGTGTTGAAATAATAGGTATTATGATTCTATGTATTTTGTAAGTAACTGCTAAAAGAGTAATTTGGGAAACTGGCAACTGAAACTTTGCGCAAATTTGAATGAGATCTTTTTATATTGCATTTAGGAACATGAAAACTAATTTCCATGTTCATGGAGGTTTGGTTTCAATATTACTGCTTTTTGTTATTGTACTGAAAATTACCAGTGCTCCTTACCTCGCTTGAGCGCCATGTACGGGACAGCTCAATCGATTCTGTCTGCATGATCGTTCACACGCACACCAATAGATGAGTTATTAATCTTACTGTACACGACAGCCTCGCCAGATGTTCGCTGGAAGGATGAGTGCTAGTGTTACCCCATTAACAGAAAGACGTTAAGAAACGGGAATAAAGGAAAAAGAACGAAATGTATAAATTGGTGCATGCTATCTGCCTACGGTGAGGTCGTTTGAATTTGGTTTATGGCGAAGAGGACATGTTGGGAGTTTACCCGAGTGTACCGACTTGCTTTACGTAATGAAGGACGAAGTTTCACCTATGTATACTTGCATTGCATGTGCTAGTACCTACTTACGGAAAACATAATATTGGTTAAGATTAAGGATTTCCCGGCAATGAATTATTGGGAATAAATATTATGTTTACAATTATTTAAAACGCAAAGAAAATTTGTAGGCGGTGCGCAGAAAATTCTGTACTGCAGCAATAGACTTCAGCGAAGTCCTGTTTGTAATTGCTGCTGATCGAAGTGCATCAGTCGTAGAGCTTGATAAGAGTGCTGGCGTGGAAAATGGGCCCACCCCGGGGAAGCGGTGGCTTCCGAGCGCGGCGGGCGCTAGCGCCGGCGCCGCGGCAGGAAGGCGGTGGGCGTGCGGCGCTAATTAGGAAGGTCGCGGCGTCGTGGGGCCTTGGGCGGAGGAACGTCTCGGCTGCTTCCGCCGGCGCTCGGCCGCTCTCGGGCTCTCGGCGCCGCCATTGCTTCGGGCCCGTGCCTGCCGCCGCCGCCGCCGCCGCGCAATCTCCGCCCGTCGCCTCTTCGCCCATCGACCTCCGCCTTAGCGGCCCGCGCTAATTGCTCTGCGACTCACTCTTGTTTCTCTAATCGTGTCTTTACCCCAGTATTAGGAAAGCCATCAAATGCTGCTCTATTCATATTTCCATTTTAACCTCTCATCTTCCTCCTACTTATCATCAGGTTCTTCTTTGACGACATCCTCTTTATCCCCTTCTTGTCTTCGACCTCCCCTTTCTTTTTTTCTTCTCCCTCTTTTTCTTCTACTCTTCCTCCTCCTGTAAAGCATTATCACAGGAGCACGGATGTAATAAAATTAATAACATGTGGACATTACTGTGATATACATACTACAGAAATTTGTTCTAAAAAAAAATAGTAATATCAATTAATAAGAAACTGAATTGGTTTTTGAAATAAATTTCTCTAGTCATAAAAAAGGTACAGAATTTCAAAAAGAAGATTCAACACTATTTCACATATTCTTATTACTTTCCCAATTTATGAGATGAGAACAGCTTCAAATGTGTCCCAAATAGAGAGAAATGAGAACTAATTTTTGTACATATTTGCGAATTTAACATTTTAGAACCGCGCCAACTATTGAATTTCAGAGGTGCCTGAAAGACTTAAGGAAAACTTCCCAAAGTGTTAACAGACGTGCTTAAATTCGAAAAAATGAAATAATCTAGGCAGTTTTTCCGTGATCAAACATTTATGGATGCTGGAGTATCAGTGTCATACTGATGAACTCGTTTTACAAAATTAACATTTTGCAAATAGTTGCCAGCCACATCAATCACAGTCTCATTTCGTAAATGTAGGCTTCGGAGAAAGAAGAGTTTCGGGAAAAAAATCAGGACACCAGCGTCTCAATCCTTAGGTGAGTCGGCGTGTGTTGATCCCGGTGAAAGGTATCAAGTTGATGGCGGACTTCTAAAAAGGAGGTAAAGAGGACAAACTATCGCCTATCAACAAAATTTTATTTTCTTTCACCATCTTTCTATCTGGAATATAACCTCTTTCTTGTTACAGAAGACACACACACACACAATACTTTCAGGTGTGACAATAAGCTAGTACTTTGAGTAGTGACTAAAAATAACGCATAATGGACGATTCTGCATAGTTTTCCGGGCGATTCCTAGTCAAATAAAACAATAAAATGCAAATAAACAACATAATTGATTAAAATATGTACTCATTGGTTAAAAAATGATGTGTTATAAAATCAGCATTTTTATGGACTTTGACACGAAATATTAACATAACGCAATTTGGAATTGACAGAGTTTATTTAAAAACGTGTAATTACATGATTATCAGGGATCGTGATTTTGTAGTCACGAACGCCCCCCGCCGGTTCCTGTTTTTCTTCAGGTCAGATGTTCGAAGTTGGCAGAATCGTGAATTTCTGTTCTTGTAACCTCCAGGTAACGTCCTCTTCGGGGAACGTGCTCGTAGTGACGTACCTTCACCCATGCAAAGACGATCTACGGATTGGGAGGATGACCAACTCAGTTCAGAATTAGTATTTTCTTTCGAATTATTGTTTGTGTTTATTACCAATGCATAATTGATTATTTCATAAGATGATGGACAATGATAAGTTCTGGATTTTATATTCATGAAACCGGCATTCTTCGTGCAGCATGGAAACGTACGGAGTTGTTGAATCTACGAGCGAAAAGTTTAAAAATGAAAAATTAAAATAAGGTATTTGCAATTAAGTAAATGTTTAGAATGTTAAAATATACACTTGCACTGTACGTATAAGAACAGAACTGGTAAAACATTTCGTCACCGGAAAATTACACTGTTTAATAAAAGCGTTGCATTTAAAGTTGTTTATGAATTAATTCATTCCTTGTTGCTTGAATATTGTATAGAACGTATGTAAATCAACGGATTTTACAGTTTGCAATTTCGATTTATATACGGCGATTCTGTTGGAGACCATTTCAGATTTACTGCAGAAATATCCCAAAATGTAATAATTCAAATTCAATCGCCTGGAACTTTTTGGGCCGGTTTCACCAACAGCCGAGTAAAGTTGAGAGTAGTTACCCGAGAGTAAGCATTTATTCTAAGATAACTCTCGAATAGAATATAAGCTTTTCAGAATCCTTGTGGAGGGTTATTTTACTCGAGAGTACATACTCTCCGATTTACTCCGCGAATCAGCTGAACGGGCAATATATGAGTGCGATTCAAGAGGCTATGAGCGAGAGTGACGCTAGGAACCACTGCGGACCAACGCGAACATTTCATTAATTCTTTATATTGTATCATTCATTTCAGTTTCGGAGTTCTTGACGTTATTATCTTGTGCGGTGTTATCATTATTTAAGTTGGCATCGTTTATTTCTTAGTTTTTGTATCTTTATTTCTTAATAAATATTAATTTTTCTTCTCTGGAGATGAGTTACTATTTTGTTCGCAATGCAGAAAAATCAAATTTGCAGTTCGTTTACCAATGGCGATGCAAATAAATTTTCCATAACTCGGAAACGAAAATGTTTAGTTTTTCAAATGTTTCTGATCTCGCGTTTTTCTAAATTGTATTATTATTTTTATTTGTTTTATTTTTTAAACTTGTATTCACCTTTGAACTATTTATAGTAAAAATGTTGGAAAGGGATTCTGGAACTCAAGATAATGTCGCAAGTGATCTCTCCCCATATCGTCAGCATCAGTTTTACTAAATAAATAAATAAATATTTCTTAGCACTTGTAGTCTTTGTACTTATTATTTTCCTTTTCGTTATTGTATACGGTAAATGTAAATACTTTATTTTTCGTATCCAGATGGGCGAAAAATAAATTTACAAGTTTTCTACAGTTTACAAACTGTATCTGAACTGAAGTTAACAGCTGTTTTGGTCAAACAGAACTCGTGACAAAAATCTCGTACGTCAAATTAAAACAAACTCATTCTCTCTCGCTACCCTTTTGTCTTCGCAACATTAGTGGATTAAGTATTCCGAATCCAATTGCTGGAATCGTCCTTCAAAATGACTATAATTCGTAACTCGTCCGAGCATAACAACACTTCTGGGGAGTAATGCAACGTTGAAAAACCTGAGATTTACTCCGTACTTTACCCGGACGGATTTTCCACAGTGTAAGTTACTCTCGAATTTTACTTTCGTTAAGCGATTTACACTTGAGCTAAAGTGTTGAAACGTCCAAGGTTGACATGATTTACTTCGAGAGTAACTCTTTCTTACTTTTCTTGGTGAAACGGCCTGTGCAAAATGCAAAGAAGAAGGTAGTCGTAGTTAGCAGGTAAATAGGGCGAGTTGCAGAACGCGTGTGCGTTTGTTGTTACAGGGGCTTCCAGGATGGATCCCCGCGGCGGGCGGAGGGCGGCGGCCAGGCGCGGGCGAGGCCCGCGCCCGCCCACACCTCCGCCGCACCACTGCCCACGCTCCATGCCCATTGCACCGCCATCGCACAGCCCATCCCCACCGGAGGACCCGCGGGCCGGCGCCTTGCCACGCTCCTGCTTGGCGGCCTGGCTTCAGGTGGCCAGCGCGCCTAGTTGTTGCGTGGTGACAGGAACACTTTTCAACCAGAATGTCAATTTCAAAGAGAAAGCGAAGAAAGTATTCTGAGTCTGTAATGCTTCAATATATATAACGTGCATTGCTGGGATATTAGATAGTTATATGCATGTTTTCAAGTATTGCTCCGTTATCTGGTGTTAGCTTAAATCCTTGAGTAGATCATCCGTATCAAGAATAATTTAGACGTATACAAAATATATTTTCTTTGAAATGTTACTAATTTAAAATCAAGTTATTTATTTTCAAGTTTTGTTTGACATTGCATAAGTTGTGTGTTTTTTTGAGATCGCATTAATCATATTAAATTTGCTTAAGCGATCATCCTCAGCATTAGTATGTAAACTTCAAGACTATAGTCATTTTTAAAATGAAAATACATTTTATGCACTCTACAACTACCCAGCGCTTAAGATTCATGAAGCAAAGTAACTATTGCTCGAAAGGATATTGCTTTGGTAAATACTAACATCTTTCATTACAGCAGACATAACGCTTTTCATAAGATAACATAGGAAGAAACGTTTTTCTCGATTTACGATGTGAGTATTAATAAAGTTAATGTTTTTCGTGTATATCAGAATAGTAATGCTTATGATTAAATACATTGCGAAGAAGATGAATAAATGTACCGGATGGTAAATAAAATAAAGAAAAAAAACAAAAAACAAAAAAAAATTAATATTTTGGCTCCGTGTATTTTGAATTGCCAAATGTATTTTTGTTTATTAAGTGATAAACGATTCTTCTAATTGCTGTACCCAAGTCTACATTGTAAACATTAAAGTTCTGTCGTTATGGACTTGTTATAGCAATTTTTTTTGGTATAATTATTGGAGAGAATAAGAGTCGCAGTGTGCTTGTATGGATCTCGGTGTTGAATAGCTTTGCCTTCGGTTCCTACAGCTCGAGCTATCTCTGCTGGGAGGCCTGTCGGGAAGGGGGGGATGAGCGCGGGTCGCGGCCCATGGCGCGCGGCGCGCGGCCGCCACTGCAATGGCGGCCGGGAGCGCCCGCGGCCGCAGT